CGGTACAAGATGACTGGTGAAAATGACTGTCTAGGTCATAAACTGTCGTGAAAGTGACTGGCTGGTAAAGCTGACTGACTGGATGATTGGTAAAGGTGACTGACTGACTGACTGGTAGAGCTGACTGACTGGTTGACTCGTGAAGGTGACTGGCTGACTGGTTGACTAGTGAAGGTGACTGACTGACTGACTGACTGGTGAGAGAGAGAGTGTGTTTTGAGAACGATGATTTAACCTAAATTGTTATGACGACAGATGATTAGTAAATGCTGGTAATTGTGGAAGTGGTGGTGGTGGTGGTGCGGTAGTGGTGGTGGTGGTGGGCGTGGTGGTGGGTGCAGTAGTGGTGGTGGTGGTGGTGGGCGTGGTGGTGGGTGCAGTAGTGATAGTAGTGGTGGTAGTGATTACAGTGGTTGTGATTGCAGTGGTGGTGATTGCAGTGGTAGTGATAACAATGGGTTGTGGTGGTTAGTGGTGACAGTGGTTGTTTATGCAGGTACACACACTGACCTCATTAACATATCTCTCGTCTAACAACCGTCGCCGCCTCCACCATCTACAACAGTTGGGGAATACGAAGATTTAAAACATCTCTTACAGCTAACGGTTATTAACGGTCATTAACGGTTTTTTTGAGTGGGTCGAGGTAGTCTGGGTTCAAATTTAAAACAAAACAAATAAACATACTTTATCTTTTTCGACGCCATTTTATTTATTTATTTTTTTTTTAATTTTGCCCAAGATGTTAAGAAAGACAGTTAATAACATCATTAGTCAGGAGAACAAAAAATTAACTTATGAATCTTTGAGAACCTAACTATGTTGACAAATAAGTTAGGTTAAATTAGATTAATTTACGTTAGGTCAAATATGATTGGGTTAGGTTAAATTAGCTTAGGTTAAGTTGAATTTGGTTAGGTTAGTTTAGGTAAGGTTAAAGTCCCTATATAATACCTGAAGCTTTTTAAATCGACACGTCACATAAAAGTCGTTACATATATGTGACACCTGGGACACGTGACTTACAGACCTATATAAGTGACTTGTAGAATCGACCGACGACTAAAACGTTACATAAGCACATATGTAACGAAGCCACATATGTCTCACTTGCTGGAACAGGTGTGGAGGTGGGGAGGGGAGGTGGGGGAGGGAGGGTGGGGGGAGGGTGTGGGGAGAAGAGGAGAAAGAGGGTGGGAAGGAAGGAGAGGAAGGGAGGAGAGGGAAAGGGGGGAAGAGAGGTGTACAGGGAAAGGGTGGGAAGGAAGGGAAAAATGCGTGGGAAGAGTGAGGGAGATAAATTTGGAGGAGGGAAGAAGGAGGTTGGAAGAAGAAAAGAGAGAGAGGTGGGGAGGGCTCACATGAAGAGGGGAGGGGTTGGAGGGGAGGGAGGGCAGGGCAGAGGGAGGAGGGGAGGGCAGGGCGGAGGGGAGGGCAGGGCAGAGGGGAGGGGAGGGCAGAGGGAGGAGGGCAGAGGAGAGGAGGGGAGAGGAGGCAGGGAGGAGAGGGAGGGTAGGGGGAAGGGAGGGGGCAGGGCGGAGGGGAGGGGTAAGGGAGGGGAGGGGCAGGGGCAGGGGAGGGGAGGCAGAGGGGAGGGGAGAGGGCAGGGCGGAGGGGAGGGCAGGGGTAGAGGGGAGGGGAGGGCAGGGAGGGGGAGGGGAGGAGGGGAGGGGGAGGGCAGGGCAGAGGGGGGGAGGGGGAGGGCAGGGGAGGGGAGGGGCAGAGGAGAGGGGAGGGGAGAGGGGAGGGGCAGGGCAGAGGGAGAGGGGAGGGCAGGGTGAAGGGAGGGCAGGGTGAGGGAGGCAGGGGGGGAGGGGAGGGAGGGGAGGGGAGGGGAGGTAGAGGGGAGGGGAGGGGAGGGGCAGAGGGGAGGAGGGGAGGGAGGCAGAGAGGGGAGGGTAGAGGGAGGGCAGGGCAGAGGAGAGGGGAGGGCGGAGAGAGGGAGGGGAGAGGGGAGGCAGGCAGAGGAGAGGGGAGGGCAGGGAGAGGGGAGGGGAGGGCAGAGGGGAGGGGAGGGGAGGGCAGAGGGGAGGGGAGGGCAGAGGAGAGGGGGAGGGCAGAGGGAGGGGAGGGGAGGCAGAGGGGAGGGGAGGGCAGAGGAGAGGGGAGGGAGGGCAGAGGGGAGGGGAGGGCAGAGGAGAGGGGAGGGCAGAGGGAGGGCAGCAGGGCAGAGGAGAGGGGAGGGGAGGGCAGAGGGAAGAGGAGAGGGGAGGGCAGAGGAGGGCAGGGCAGAGGAGAGGGAGGAGGGCAGAGGGAGGGGAGGGAGGGCAGGGCAGGGAGGGGAGGGCAGAGGAGAGGGAGGGCAGGGCAGAGGGGAGGGCAGAGGAGAGGGGAGGACTCTTTGACACAGTAACCAGTCATGCTAACCTCCCCGCAAACCTCCACCCTCCCCTCCCCACCCTCACTCCCCAAGTCGTACAACAGACTCAAGTAATAGACTGTGTTCACGTGGCTGTACACAGACTGACTCTCTTGGGTCTGTCTGTGTAGTGTTGTTGTTGTTTGTTCTTGTTGCGTCGAGGTTTTTTCAAGTAGTTTTTGAGAAACAGGTACAGGTGTGTTAACAACACAGGTATTCTTACAGGTACAGGTGTGGTTAACAACACAGGTATTCTTACAGGTACAGGTATTGGTAAAGATACAAGTACAGTTATATATTATAACAATACAGTTACATCCTCACATATACAGTCACATATTAAGAAGTTACAGATATAGGTATACATATATATACCGAATGCACATGTAATAAAAATTGTCACCTCCCGTGTAACGAGGATGGCCGGCCCTAGGGCCACCTAGGCGTGAATGTGTTGTAGAAGCTGCCCAACACAACAACCACAGCCTGAGTTAACGAGCTGCATGACCCAGTGTCAAGGAATAGTCCGAGAAGACCGGACAACTCGCCAACTGCACTGGCTAACCATTACCCCGGAACACAAATCAATTAACATCCAGGTTCCCAATTACTGCTGGGTAGACAGAGGCAAATGGCGTAAAGAAACTTGCCCATAGTTTCACCTGCCCGGGGATCGAACTCGGGTCCATATATGTACAGTGGTCGACACAACAATCGTTCCAGGTTTATCTGATGAGTTTCTAAATTTAGTAAAACATAATCCAAGACTTAACTCAACAACATAAACAGCTGGTGTAGGTGATGGGCGGCAGGAGGAGCACCATGACAGAGTTGTTGTGGTAAATGATGTATTACCACAGCCATGATAAATGAACGACAGGAAATATGGATCACTCCGCTCCCGGCCTGCCACCTGTTATACTGCACAACACAACCATACAAACAACGAGGAGAGGCAAGTGGTCTCGTCTATAGAAAATGATTAACAACCTTTGAAATTTGCATAAAACAATTACGGGCTGGAAGATATCTCTCTCTCTCTCTCTCTCTCTCCCTCGACCTGTGAATCCTAACCTGACCACACCACACCACACCACGCGCGCGCGCACACACACACACACACACTATTATAAAGACAGGCTGCCAGACATTAAGACAGACACAACAGATTTTACACAAAAGTTACAGAACGACAGACAGTTACACAGAAAAGCATAGACAGACAGACAGACAGACAGAGTTACACAGACAGCACTGCAGCCACCCCCCACCCCCCCCACACAAACGAGAAATTCCTAAAACAAATCTAAAAAATAAAAAATACTCTGTAAATTCTCAGGACAAATTATACCGGTACTTAATTTCCACAGCACAATCCGTTATGCGATAAATTCCCTTAGTTGTCAAAATTCCTGATGTCCATTTTACGAGATAACTTTACCAGGAAACTACTCGTTACCTCAGACAGATAGACAGCTGTTAGGAAGTCATGAACTGGAGCGGATTCACCTTCATTATTCAGTGTGTGTGTGTGTGTGTGTAATAATAATAATAATAATAATTAACGGTTTATTGAAAGAGCTTGGCAGCCAGAAGGCTGAAAATATACAGTTACATATTTGGGGAATGGGTTACGAATTACAAATAATATACAAGTGACATAAGTGACACAAATAAGACATATAGTAACTTAGATGGGGATCAGCTCAAAATACAGTTCATTTCAACATAGTGACAGTGTAGGGAGCAGTGTTTACTGGGAGTGAATACACTGATTTATTACATGTGTGTATGTGTGTGTGTGTGTGTGTGTGTCCAACGGAAATCAAAGTAATAATAATATTCTTTTGTAGTCACATTATGGCACCGGAGGAAAACAAATAGAAACAAACAAACAAACAAACAAACAGGTACAAAAAAACCCGTAGGTAGGTCAGTGTGGAGGTCAGGACAGCGTTGATCTCTTACCTCTGAGGCCTGGGAACCTCTACACGTACACCTGTATACATACACACACACACACACACAAAACATACAAAAACACGCAAACACACAAGCACGTACGCACTTACGCACGCAATCACACGCCCTGGTAACGTAACAGTAATCATAAGTGCTCGGCTGGCGCGCGTTCGTCTAACACAGTATTCAGCACAGACAGCTTGGGCGTTCATTCCTCTTAGTTAACGTAATTGACAAAAATTATCGGTAATGACAACTTAATTAACCACGTGAGTATGATAAGAACATAAGGAGTTTGCAATAGGCCGCTTGACCTGTGCATGGCAGCTCCTGTCGAGAGTTACTACCACTCTCTATCACCCATGAATCTATCCAGCCTCCTTTTAATACTTTCCAGCGTTCCAGCACTTACTACAAAGTTGCTAAGCTTGTTCCACTCGTCCACCACCCTATTTGTGAGCCAGTTCCTTCCTATCTCCCTCCTAAACCCAAACTTATCCAACTTAAATCCGTTGCTACGAGTCCTATCCTGCTCGGATATTATAAGAACTTTATCTATATCTCCTATCTTGATGACTTAACCCCTTGAGTATGATGACCTTGAGGGTGATGGTGACATTGTACTACTACCACCACTACTACCACTACTACTACTACCACTACTACCACAACAACTCACCTCATCTTCACACTGCTTCCTACATTCATCACTGGCCTGGGTTGGTTGTGAACAGTTGACGTCATAGTTCTTGCCCGTCGAGAAGGCCAGATGATTTGGCTCCCAGCTCTCTGACGTCACCAGGAAGAGTCCACACCAACACTGCGCATGCGTGAGGTTGGCGACACATCCTACCGTCACCAGCCAGATTATCGCCGCTTCTAACCGTCTTAACCGCATTATCATATCTGCTGAGAGAGAGAGAGAGAGAGAGAAAGATAAATAGAGAGAAAAGAGACAAGAGAAATAATTTCACATGAAAGAAAAATAATAAACAAAAGCTTAAAACTAATATAAATAAAACTTCAATAAAACATTAAATAAAACATCAATAAAACACAAAAAACAAAAATGAACCCATGAAAACAAACATTAAGAAATATCATCATCCTTCCAATCTTCTTCACAAATAACTGACCTGTACTAGGGCCAGGTAAGGTGTAAAGGACCTGTACTTGGGCCAGGTAAGGTGTAAAGGACCTGTACTTGGGCCAGGTAAGGGTGAAAGGACCTGTACTTGGGCCAGGTAAGGGCTGACTCTTGGTAGTCTCGGCGGTACGTGACTGACGGGGTGAAAGTTGTAACACGCCTAAACGTTAAGACAAAGACCCCATTGTTGGCTGACACCCTGGTGGCCCTCCTGCTGACTGTGATGACTCTCCTTCCCCACCTGCTGACACCTGATGGCCCTCCCCCACCCTGCTGACCGTGATGGCCCTCCCCACCCTGCTGACACCGTGATGGCCTCCCACCCTGCTGACACTGTGATGGCCCTCCCCCACCCTGCTGACACCGTGATGGCCTCCCCACCCTGCTGACACCGTGATGGCCCTCCCCCACCCCTGCTGACACCGTGATGGCCCTTCCCACCCTGCTGACACCGTGATGGCCCTCCCCACCCTGCTGACACCGTGATGGCCCTCCCACCCCCTGCTGACACCGTGATGACTCTCCTTCACACCCTGCTGACACCGTGATGGCCCTCCCCACCCTGCTGACACCGTGATGGCCCTCCCTGCTGACACCCTGGTGGCCCTACGTGACACTCAGATGACTCCTCCCCCACCCTGCTAACACCGTGATGGCCCTCCCCACCCTGCTGACACTGTGATGACTCCTTCACACCCCTGCTGACTGTGATGGCCCTCCCCCACCCTGCTGACACCGTGATGGCCCCACCCTGCTGATGGTCCGACTGACTGACAGACCGACAAAGACCGAGAGATAGAGAGAGACAGACAGACTGACAGAGACCGAGAGATACAGAGACAGAAAGACTGACAGAGGTTCACTATGAAGAATGTATCGGGCTCAGCCAAACAGCTTGTGTGTGAGAGAATGTGGTACAACTACTACCACCACCACCACCACCAGTACTACCACCACCACTACCACCACCATACACACCACCACCAGTACTACCACTACTAGTACCATCACTACAACCACTACCACCACCACCAGCACCACTACTACCACCACCACTACCACTACACTATCGTAACAAATACAAAAATATAATTACAGCAACATGGCAACAAGTACAGCAACACAGCCATTAAGAAACAAGTACAGCAGGACCAACAAGACACATGGCAACAACAGCAACAAACACATTAAAATACTGACTTATTTATGCATTAGTGGTTTCTTAATAATAAAGGTGTTATTATTATCATTTACTCTGTCTCTCTCTCTCACCTTCTTCTTTCCCTTCTCTCCAATTCTACCTTTCGTATTAATTACCGAGAGGAGGAGAAGGAGGGAACAAATGGGAGAGGCAACAGGGAGGGAGAAAGATAACAGTGGAGTGAAGAAGAGAGAGATAACGATGGAGAGAGAAGGAAGAAGTGAAGGACGGAGAAGAGGGAGAGAGGCACATTCCTCTGGGTGGGCCTAACACAAATTGTGCTCCACTGACTGCCGGCGACCTGTCTAGAACACAGGAGGAGGAGTAGGGAAGAGGAGGGGAGGAAGAAGAGGGGAAGGAGGAAGAAGAGGGGAAGGAGGAAGAAGAGGGAAGGAGGAAGAGGAGGGAAGGAGGAAGAGGAGGGAAGAGGAAGAGGAGGGGAAGGAGGAAGAGGAGGGGAAGGAGGAAGAGGAGGGAAGGAGGAAGAGGAGGGGGAGGGAGAAGGGGGGAGGAGGAGGAAGGGGGCAGGAGGAGGAAGGGGCAGGAGGAGGAAGGGGGGCAGGGAGGAGGGGGAAGAGGAGGAAGGGGGCAGGAGGAGGAAGGGGCAGGAGGGAGGAAGGGCAGGGAGGAAGGGGGCAGGAGGAGGAAGGGGCAGGAGGAGGAAGGGGGCAGGAGGAGGAAGGGGGGCAGAGGAGGAAGGGGCAGGAGAGGAGGGGGCAGGAGGAGGAAGGGGGGGCAGGAGGAGGAAGGGGGGCAGGAGGAGGAAGGGGGGCAGGAGGAGGAAGGGGAGAGGGAGGAAGGGCAGAGAGGAAGGGGCAGGAGGAAGAAGGGGCAGGAGGAAGAAGGGGGCAGAGGAAGAAGGCAGGAGGGAGAAGGGGGCAGGGAGGAGGAAGGGGCAGGGAGGAGAAGGAGCAGGAGGGAGGAAGGAGGGCAGGAGGAGGAAGGAGGGAGAGGAGGAAGGGGGAGCAGGAGGAGGAAGGGGGGGCAGGAGGAGGAAGGGGGGGCAGGAGGAGGAAGGGGGGCAGAAGGAGGAAGGGGGGGCAGGAGGAGGAAGGGGGCAGGAGGAGGAAGGGGGCAGGAGGAGGAAGGGGGGCAGGAGAGGAAGGCAGGGAGGAGGAAGGGGGCAGGAGGAGGAAGGGGCAGGAGAGGAAGGAGGAGGGAGAAGGGGAGGAGGAGGAAGAAGGGGCAGGAGGAGGAAGGAGGAGGAGGAGAGAAGGAGGCGGAGAAGAGGAGGGGGGAGGTGGAGGAAGGGGGCAGGAGGAGGAAGGGGGGCAGGGGGAGGAAGGGGGGCAGGGAGGAGGAAGGCGGCAGGAGGAGGAAGGGGGGCAGGAGGAGGAAGGGGGGGCAGGAGGAGGGGGAGCAGGGGAGGAGGAAGGGGGGCAGGAGAACCTGTCTACGGGGGAGGGGGGAGGGAGGGGGGGAGTGGGGGGGGAAGAGACTCAGAGTTAGGTCAACATTAGCATGGATGCCGACGTCTGGCTCAACCTCCTCCCCCCCCACACCCATGTCTGGCCCAGGTGGTCGAGAGAGAGAGACACAGACAGAATATCAGTACTCGAACAGGTTGGTAACAGTGAAGACATCGCTTACCCCACAGCCCGGAGGAGGAGACGACGAACTCTCCCCCGCAGACTACACTCCCATCTAACACAATACTAACACCAATGGCATGACAATTTAAAGAGCTTACAAGTCTTAGTCGTAAAGTTACCGCAATGTTTACGTACCAGGTCGACAGAATACGTTGGGAAACTAAAATGACCAAAATATTACGAAAAAAACTGGGAAAAATTATGTTATGTGGAAAAAAAAGGTTAAAATAATATCTCTCCAGCCACCAGCCATAGTGTTGGAGGGTTTGGTTTAGTGTTGGAGGGTTTGGTTTAGTGTTGGAGGGTTTGGTTTAGTGTTGGAGGGTTTGGTTTAGTGTTGGAGTAAACAACCTTCCTTCCCATTAACTCCCCTGCTGTAAAATAAATATCATTTTTCTTCCTTTCTTCCTCCTCCTCTTCTTCCTTTCTTCTTCTTCCTCTTCCTCATCTTCCTTTCTTCTTCTTCCTCTTCCTCCTCCTCTTCTTCCTTTCTTCTTCTTCCTCTTCCTCCTCCTCTTCTTCCTTTCTTCTTCTTCCTCCTCCTCTTCCTTTCTTCCTCCTCCTCCTCTTTTCTTCCTCATTATTATTATCATCATTACTTGAATTATTCTCTAATGGTTTTTCATCCAACTCGTGACTTATAATAACCCCTTGAGTACAATAACAACCTCCAGAGTACAATAACATAACCCCTTGAGTACAATAACAACCTCCAGAGTACAATAACATAACCCCTTGAGTACAATAACTTAACCCTCTGAGTACGGGGTCCTCTCTGACCTCGAAAAAAGCGTCGTAAACCAAATAAATAATTAAAAGTAGCGCATCCTTGCAGTGAAAGTATAAGTACGATAACTCAACAAACATCATATCACATCATAAAGAACCAAATCTCTATTACAAACAAAGGACAATCTCATCATAAGGAACCAAATCCCCTATTACGAACAAAAGACAATCTCATCGAAGTACTATAGAGAGTCTGAACCAAAATTACAAAACAAAAGACAATAATAACAATAGTACCATTACATAAGACATCATTACAATATGAACTGTAATGGGTGAAAGTAGTTCTCAATGCTTGACGACCCGGTAAAGACACGGTACACAAGGAGGGTTTATGGCTAGCACTGGATCACCTTCGCTTCCAGCAATCGAACCAAGGCACAGAAGGTTATGTTAACGGGTGTTGTCTCCGCTCAGCCACCGCACCATAATTTAATTTATCCTAATCTAACCTTAACCCAATTAACGTAACACGAACCTATATTAACCAAACGCTAATATAACCTTACCTAACCCTAATCTAACCAAACCTAAATTTACTTATCCTAACTTACCGTAACCCTAACCAAAATCAACCTAACCTTGCCTTAACCTAACGCTAATCTACCTAACATAACCCAACCCTAATCTAACCAAACCATAAACAACCTTAAACACATCGCAAAAACCCACTACAAGAACATTGAACAACAACAATCAACAAATACACTGGGCCAACAATTATACCATCCTAATCACAGTAATAACGAGAGAGCATCGCTAAACCATTCACAAACACCAAACTCATCACAACACAAGAGAGAGTCAACGACCAGACCATGATGACGACCAGACCATGATGAAGACCAGACCATGATGAAGACCAGACCATGTTGACGACCAGACCATGCTGAGAGAATGGAGAAACTGTGTGTGTGTGTGTGTGTGTGTGTAATTAACCATTTCAGTCTCCCCTAACAATAAGAGAAAATGGGTAGGTTGTTTATGAATTAATTTCGATAGATAGATAGTTTCATTAATTCGACTCGTCAAAAGGCATATCTGTTAAAATTCTTAAAACTATAGATTAACAAAGATAATTAAAACATTTATACATAAACAACAGACAATCGGATGTATTTAAAGTAACAAAATCTTTATAAAAAGATGACAGAAGGAAGCAAAACCCCTTTCAAAACAA